TTATAAACTCTTTGGGAATACTTAGTTCCCTAATAGCTTTTTGAGAAATGAACTCAACTCTATACTCTTTGCTTAACTTGAAACTTAAGTTTTAAAACAAAGTTGAAACATTTGCAAAAGACTCTTGAAAACTTTGATGACTTCACTTGACTTGACTCTTACTTCACTTGAATTGACTCTTAACTTTCCTTGAATTGAATTATGGACTCAAGGATTATGATTTGTGATAGGAAATGTCTCTTGATGTTTAGGAATGATTTCGAATAGCTAAACTTGAGAAAAGTTACAAAATCACTGTCTTGGAACAAGTCCACGACGCGGAGATATTTTAAATAATTATTCGCGAAATTAAATTTTGAGACAGAGGAGTCCGCGTTCTCTTCGCGACGCAGAGCATGTTTTTGTTCACAGGGGGAACAAGTCCGCGACACGGACTTGTTTCATGAACCTTACTCGACTTTTTCCTTCTTCGTTTTTCAGCCTCAAACAACCTAAATTCGTTTTAGATCCTGATACCCAGCGTATGTACTCAAGAACCTAACTCAAAGTAACTCTAAAACACAATGTAAAGATCTCGGAAACTCCACAATTCAACCCAATTCAAGAACAACATTCAAATTCAAGAATTCATGTCAAGAACATCACCTTTCAAACTCTTTTAGGACGAATTGCGCTGAAACTAAACATGTTTGGCGCGTGAGTGAATGAACCCAACGCTATGAGAGACTCACATACCTTGTAGGATCAATTCCTTGGCGAATCCACAACCAAAATCGATCGTTCTTGGCGAATCTTGATTTTCCTCTTCTCCTTTCTCCTGCGTTCTTTCTCCAAAAGCACTAACTCTATTTCTCAAAAGCGTAAACTGAACTAACTCAGTTTTGACCCCACTTAATTTACTAAAAACGGATTTAATTAATTGGGTAAGGAAAAGACCGAACTACCCTTTTAAATTGCGCATTGGGCATTTCTTCATTCAAACAGCCCAACTTACAAAGGACGTAACTCACTCATACGAACTCAGAATCATGCAAACTCGGCGGATTTGGAAAGATAAATCCAAGAGCTTTCCAACCATATCTGGAAATACACCTAAGTCATAATGATCTAGGAGTTATGGTTGATTTAAGTTGACCAAAATCTCAACTTTACATTACTTAAAAATTTCCAGATTTCCTTATACTTTCCAAAAAAGATTATTTCAAGTTCTTGGCTTCTTTCTAGCTATTTCAAGTTGCAAGATGTTACACTTCTCTCGCATGTCCCTCTCGGTTTCCCAAGTAGCTTCCTCAATTGGACGATGCTTGCATTGAACTTTCATGGACTTAATCTCCTTGGTCCTCAACTTGCGTACATCACGATCAAGAATTGCAATCGGTTCCTCCTCGTATTGGTGGTCCTTGTCTAACACAATTGATTCCCACTTTATGATATAATCCCCGTCACCATGATATCTCATCAACATGGACACATGAAATATCGGGTCCACACTCGATAGATTAGGAGCTAACGCCAACCTATACACTACCGATCCTACACATTCAAGAACCTCAAAGGGACCACCCGATAGATTAGGAGGTAAAGCCAATCTATACGCTACCGGTCCCACACATTCAAGAATTTCAAATGGGCCAATGTATCTAGGACTTAGCTTACCCTTCTCACCAAATCTCATCACCCCCTTCATGGGTGATACCTTAAAAAGAACATTCTCACCAGTTTGAAACTCCATGTCTCTTACCTTATGATCCGCATACTTCTTTTGCCTACTCTGGGCTGCTAAAAGCTTAGCTTGAATACTCTTCACCTTATCTTGAGCATCCTTCACTAAATCTACTCCCAAAGGTTTCACATCTCCAACCTCAAACCATTATATAGGTGATCTACACCCCCTCCCATAGAGTGCCTCAAATGGTGTCATATCAATGCTGGAGTGATAACTATTATTATAGGAGAATTCACACAAAGTAAGAATGTTTTCCTTCGTAGTATTTTTATGGTTGCTTATATGATCCTATCTTTTCTCTCAAGGATGTAATTGACTTTTTTCATGTTTCTTGTCATTAAACAAAGCTCAACAAGACTATTGATCATTAAACAATTTTTCTTAGGCTTAGTCATGTTTTAATCATTAATAATGATATGAAATGTTGAAATACCAATAGCTTAGACTTTACTTAATAAAGAATATGAAAGTCCAAAAGAATCTATCAATCTTATAAAACTGAACTATTGAGTAATAACATATATTTCCAGCAAAATGAAAATGAAAAGATAAATTTAATTCTCTTTTTATCTAATTAACAAGTGCTTCTTGCTCTAATAAGATCAACCCTTTAATGAACTAAAAGAAATTTCAATAGCCATAAATTTTGAAAAAGGCTTAGCTGATATCGAGAAAGAAATACGTAATACTTGTGAATTAGCAAGTTGATGCCTAGAGAATACTTGTTAACATGCAGGAAGTTTTAGAGTTCAAATTATCACAAGAAACAACAAAAAAAGGAAGAAGTAAAGTGACGAATATAATAATTGATGACTCCTCCAAATATACATATATAACACCATCACTTTCACCACCAAAGACCATGAAGCATTTCTTTTTTTAACACTTCACCACATGCTTACCAAAGTAAAAGGACACCATTTATATAGTAACTCTCCTGTGGATTCTTTATCTTCACTCTCATGTGTTAATTAGATCAATTAGTCAACATTGAACTGTTCAATGCTAACACAACCTTCAAATTCTACAAACTCCTTGTAGAAAAGTGAAGAGATTTGCTGAAATAAATTAGTGGTATTTAATGTACTTGATCTTAAAAGGGTTAATATATTTTTTGATTGAAGGTTAAACTCGAAAATACTACTCCCTCTGTCGATAATTACTTGTCCACTTTTGAATTGGCACACCTATTAAGAAAACAATAATTGATATAGTGAGTTTACCATTTTGCCGCTATTAATTATGAAGTGGATGAATTAAAAACTTAAGATTTTCAAGAAATTCTACTTTTTTCAAAGTAATTAATTGAGGGTATAATAGAAATTTTTTTGTCCTTTCTTGATTTGTCAAAATGGACAAGTAATTAGGGACAACTAAAAATGGAAAAGTGGACAAGTAATTAGGGACGGAGGGAGTATTAAATATGCATTCTATAGATTGCAATAGTTACGGAATATTAAAAGCAATGCCAACTCATTATTGAATGGTTGAGGACTTATAGTAAGTGAGAATGTATCTGGTCAAGTATTGATTCATGCCTTATATTTCAAATTAATGGAATATGAAATATTATTACTATTTGAAAGGTAAATTCAATTTAGTGAAAGGATAAAATAGTAATCCAACTTTACATTTTGAAGTTTCTCACTTTTAATTATATATTATTATTATTATTATTATTATTATCATTATTATTATTATTATTATCATTATTATTATTATTATTATTATATATGATGATATGATAAACATTACCAACTAAAACAATCTTACACAATTATCATTGAAACTTCAAGAATCTAAATTTTTATTTCTTAGATATGATATATAATGGATCAATCTTAACATCCTCGAAAAATAAAACTATATAAGAAAAGTAACTCTAAGTTTCCTCTCTATTCCTACCTTGTCTCTCCCTAAATCTCTTATCAATTACTGAAAAACTCTAGATACGGCCGATCCACCACAATCGGAAGAAGCGAACTTCATCGGGGTGTTCGATGGTCTTGCAGTTCAACCTCTTGATCGTACTTTTTACGCCCTACACATGACCACAACATACCAAGAAAATGTCGAAGATTTCCCTGTGGAATTTCAGAATGTCAATTTCAAGACCGATGACATCATTCTTGATGAATTATTCAATGATATTTTTCCAAACCCTACCAATGATGATGCATTTCAAAACCCTAGTTGTATGCCATACTGTCTCAGGTCGGAGTCGGGTTTGGACTCTAGTCAGATGAACCCTCATAGCTTTGGTCAACCTGAGAGTCAACTGATGGTGAGTTCTGATGATGCTTCTAGAACATCCAATTCGACCTTAGGATATTGTCTTGGGGAAGCTCCAGTTTCAAAAAATCCGGTACATTTTTCCCTAAATTTAGGAAAAAATTCAATAAAAGGTGGTGTTGTAGAACATAAACTGAAATTACAGAGTGTCAATTGTAATATAAGTAACTGTAGTTATTTGTTGAAAAGGAAAAAGAGTAATGAAGACTCAAATGATGTAAGCAAACACCAAAAATCCACTATATTTTCCTTGAGTGACAATGTTAACAATGATGAGGACGAAAAGGGGATGGCTAGAAAAATTAGGAACAGGGAAAGTGCTCACTTGTCAAGGCAGAGAAAGAAGCATTATGTTAAGGAGTTAGAGAATAAATTTAGAATATTTCATTCAGCAATTCAACATTTGAATGCAAATTTATCATATGCAATGGCAGAAAATGTAACTGTAATGGCACAACTTGGAGGTACTGGTGTACCTGCTCAAGTGTCGCCACCCCCCGAGATTTATCCATATCCTCCTCCATGGATGTCATATACACCATCTTATATGATGAGCCGACAAGGATCTCAAGTGCCATTAGTTCCCATTCCAAAGTTGAAATCACAGTCACTAGCACCCGCGCCAAAAATTAGCAAGAATGTGGAGAAAAAGAAGAGTGAGGTAAAAACAAAGAAGGTTGCTAGTGTTAGCTTCCTTGGTGTGTTGTTCTTCATGATGCTCTTTGGTGGGTTGGTTCCTTTATTAAAACTGAGATATGTAGGTATTACGGAACCATCTATGAGTGGAGAGTCTTTTGTGAGTGGATTTTATGTAAAACATCATGGAAGAGTTTTGACAATTTATGGGTCCTGTGAATGAGATAGGTTATTCTGCGAAATACAGTGGAAAAGACCATAGCTCCCATTGTGGTCGGGGAGGTCATGGTGAAAGCAATCAGAAAAATACCAATAAGGCTGCAAATAAGTTTGTTCATGTGGGGAATGGTAGTGATCCTTTGGCAGCCTCTCTATATTTCCCAAGGAATGATAAACTTGTTGAGATTGATGGGAACTTGATAATTCAATATGTATCGGCAAGTGAGAAAGCCATGGCATTTCATGGAAGTGCTGATAAGAAAAATAGAGAGACCGGCCTCACAGTTCCTGGTGATTTAGCCCCTGTCATCCCAGGAATCCATCCTCGCCTTTATCGAAGTCCTGTAATGGGACAAATCATTCTTGGATCTAAGGAGAAAGAAAATGTAAAATCAACAATGCAGGAGTGGTACCTTGAAGGTCTTGCCGGTAAGTGTTGTTCAATCTAGACTGACTATTAATTCCTATCTTTGTGATATGACTGAGCAGTTTAAGGACTTCATATCATTTAAATTCATGTTTTGCTTTTCTTTTTCCTTTTTTTTTAGTTTAAATGAATTCATCTAGTGTTTGCTTTGAGAATTTAGGCACTTTTAATTTCTTTGAGTCATAGTATATGCTCTAAGCAAATTCATGTTTTGGAATAGCCTTCTGCTTTCCAGTATTTTAATTCATTTTTGTGTTCATTTGGGCAGGATATTTGTTGAGTTCGGGCATGTGTACATAAGTGTTCTAGTTTGATGCGTCAGCTTCTAGTAGAGATATATCTATGGAAGAAAGGCAGAATGGCACACCTCCACAGAAATAGAAGGATCCTCAATGGCCCTCCAGTTTCCCTTTCTAGACCCTCTCATAGCATTTCTGAAGAATAAACTGGAACAAATGGAAAGCAAGAGAACTTCAGCAGGAACAAGTCACTTTCTTCCATGGAAGTATCTATTCTGGTTGATGGTGATGGCATATAGGTTCGAAGTCCCTCTCTCGGATACTCGTTGTTGTGCTTATTGATAGTGTCAAATATGTCACCTATTCTTGCATGCTTCCATTTAAAGGATCTGCTCCTTTAGTGAATGCCCCTGAAGATGGAGTGTTCATGTAGCAGAAGCATATTTGTCGTCTTCTTTATGTGTCATATGTTTTTGCAATAATAATACATTATCTCTCTTTAATTATCGAAAGAATAAAGCAAACAATTTTTTAAGTTATATGTATTATGTTTGTGCATTCGATATTTACTCAGAATGATAATTGTAGTTGCCAATTCCTTACATTAGCAAATAACCAGAAAACATTTGACTTTCTTCGAAATAATATGACATCTTACCTGGGTAAACCAAAGCTTGGAACGTCGGTGAATTAAGAAAATAAGAGTAGAATGATTATACAACCACACACCTAGCAGAACGAGAACAGAAAGGATAAAAGAAGAGAACACATCCATATAGAGGCACACTCGATGTTGTCGACATAATAACAAAACTCATGAAATAAAAATTGAGGTATTTTCTTAAGTTGTGATTTGTTTTCTTTAGTTGTGTGTTTGTTGTCAGCTTGATCATGACCATAGTGAGCAACTCAACAACAATATAATAGAAACTTCTCACGTAGCTTATATGTTTGAAGTCCTTAAACTCTACTTCTCTCTTCTATTGGATGGAGGCAATGTATGGAGCATATTCAATTCCTTAATTAGGTTAGTCATTTGAAAAATCACATCATAAAAATTAGGTGTCATTAATGTATAAAGAAAGATGATTTTCTAAAGAAAGATATATCTGTCGGAATGGAGTTAGCATGTAACTATAATTTTGAGTGATACCGGAATACAATTGTTCGTTGTTTGTGTGGAGCTGCAAATTGTTCTAAATTTCTGGGTCGTATCGAGATTACAGTGATCTCTGGAACTCTTACATTGTAATAATGAATTGATTTTCAAATATACTAAATATTCTATTGAGCTATGGAATTTCAAGAAACAAAAAAAATCAGGAGAGCACACTAAACTGAGTACAAAATTTGTGGGGCTTCTAAATGGAAAAATAATACTAAAAGTATTCCAGCCAAGGTCTAAGGTATTTTTCTTAAAAATCAAGGTTGCAATGATTGCTTATGTCTTCAAAAACTTCTAAAGCAAGGAGATGAAATGATGAAGAGCACGACAAAAATGGAGTTCTATGACATCTTGCAGATTTTGAAGCTTGCTTATGTTGTACTTGTTACTCCCTTGATTTAGGGAATGCTCTTACTTTGTTTTAATGAATTGCTTTCCAAATATAGTGAATATTGTGTTGAGCTATAGAATTTCAAGAGACAAAAAAGAAGAAAAAAAAAGCATGTTCTCTCAATAATTTCGGATCTGAATATAGTTCACACTAATAAATATTCAATTAAGCTTAAATTCTTAAGAGTTAAATGCATCAACTAAAACTCATGCAACTAGTTGTTGTCCAGTTACATCGACTAAAGCTCGACCAAGTATTGCAATGATGGTTGAACTACTTTGGAATTCTATGATGTTTGTCACGACCCAAGAGTACCCCCTAGACGTAACAAGGCACATAATACCCCAAAGGTGTCACGCCCCGAGCCTACACCTTGGGCGAAACTGGAACTCGAGAACCATTGCTGACCCCAAGCAAACCCTTTGTCTGGCTTAACACTTAGCGAAAGACTTATTCAACATAATTGTACTTTAAAAAGTAAGTTGAAAGCTCAATAATAACTGAGAATGTATTATAAATAAACATTCACTGGCCAAAGTGGCAACTCAAGTCTCAAACATAACTGAAATGGAAAGACTCAAGACCTAACATCAACTAACTGTTTATGAAGCCTCTAACAACTAAGATGGACGTCGGGACAAGACCCACGACATCCTAATGAACATAAATGATAAAGTAATGAAAAAGGGGATCCTATCGAAGCAAGGAGGCTCACAAACAACAATGGAGCTCAACTGGAACAACGATGCGCTGGATGCTGATCATGATTACCTGTATCTACATCATAAAAAGATGCAGGCCAAATAGCATCTGTACATTGAATGTACGAGCATGTGAGGGGAAATTTAAAACAATACATAAGCTTGAAAGGAACTGAAAGATCATACTTGGGCTCAACTCAACTCAATTTAACTCATTTTAATATAAAGCAATAATGTAAATGTAATATAAAGAAAAGCTTTTAAAACATGGATAAAAACTTTGTGTATTTAAAAATACAATAATAACTATGTATGTATGCAAATATACAAATAAACTCTGGATGTATAGAAAAATACAATTTACTCAATGTATATAATAATACAAAATACTTTTGCGGGAGTTTCTCTAACCGACAACCATCACTTAAGAGCTATTGTGATGATATAGTGTTTTGCCTCACGCCGGCAGGGCCGTCCTATACCTTCCCGAGGGTATAGAACCTGACTACTAAGTGGATCCACTAGTCTATGCTAAAAAGCACTAAGGAATCATCTAAAAAGTATGACCCTTTTTCTACCCATGGTGGCTACATGGTTTATAGGGGATGGGAGTTGTCTGAACTCTCTCCCATATCGGTGCTCAATACTACTCCCAAAATAAGATACTAGCTCTTACGTTTAAAAACATAACTCAGTGGTTTGAGATAATTACTCAAAAACTAGCCCGAAGGCTCTCTTGGAAATCAGTGTTTCCTCTCTTGCTTAATTGTGAAAGCATTTACTCTTTACTGAAAACTAGCTCAAAGGCTCTTTTGGAAATCTCAATTTCCTTTATTGTTTAAATGTGAAAACATTTTACTCTTTGGGAATACATAATCCCGATATACTCTTCTGAAGAAATGAACTTCAATCTCTACTCTTTACTCAATTCAAAACTAAGGTCTTAAAACAAAGTAAAAACATTTGTAAAAGACTTGTGAAAGACTCTATGAACTTCTTTTGACTTCGCTCTTAATTTTCCTTGAAATTGAATTTATGGATTCGAGGATTGTGATTTGTGATAGCAAAGAACTCATGATGTTTAGGAGTGTTTTTAGATAGTTAAACATAAGACACGATAAAGAAATCACTGTCTGGAAGCAAGTCCGCGACGAGGAGATGCATTTAATTATTTGGTCACGAAATAAATTTTGAGGAAAAATGGTCTGTGACCACTCCTCGACGCAGAGAAAATTTTGTTAATCTTGAGGAACAGGTCCGCGACGCAGACCTAATACCCAGATTTTCCAGACTTGTTCCTTCTTCGTTTTCTAACCCCAATTCACCTAAATTCGATTCTTTTCCTCAATTCATCTTTAGATTCAGATACCCAGCACATGTACACAAGAATCAAACTCTAAACAACTCTAACAATCGACCTTAAACTCTCAAGAACTCCTCAATCTCCTCCCAAATTCAAGAACGAAAACAATTCAAGAATACAACTCAAGAACAATCAAAGTCTCAATCTTTTAGGACGAAAATCATACTGAAATAAACATGTTTGACACGTGGGTGGATGAACCTAACGCTAGGTGAACTCACATACCTCTTTAGGGATCAACCCTTGGCGAAACGACTTCGATTCCGCAAGAAAAATCCAAGAACACTTGACTTTTCTCCTCTTTTCTCTTCTTGAGTTCTTTTCTCCAAAAACCCTAGCATAATTTGGTAAAGCGTAAACTGATCTAATTCTGTTTAGACCCCTAAGTAATTACCAAAAATGAATTAAGTTGATTGGGTAGTGAAAAGACCATAATACCCTTCTAAAATCTAGTTTTGACTTTCCTTATTTAGATAGCCCAACTTCAAATGGGCATATCTCCCTCAGAACTCAAAATTGAGCAAACTTAGTGGCGTTGGAAAGATAATTCAAAGGTCTTTCCTACGGTATCTTGTAGCACACCTAACTCATCCTGAGCTAGGAGTTATGGTTGTTTGAAGTTGACCAAAAATTCATACTTAACACAACTTAATCCAACTTAATCAATTTTCCAGATTTTTTATTCTTTCCAAAAACGACCCTTTCTAATTCTAGATCTTTCACTTAGCGAGATGTTACAATATATCCCCCTTGGAAACATTCGTCCTCGAATGAGATTACTCTTAGTAAGCTAAGGGCGTAACATCAAATATTCAATTCAAACACCCAACAATCAAATCTCACATTAAGGATATCAATTAAAGAGTACTATGAAGAGAATTAGTACCTTGATCTGGAATTTCTCCGGGCTCAAAGAGATGTGGATATCTCTTCTTCATATCCTTCTCAGTTTCCCAAGTAGATTCCTCAACAAATTGATTTCTCCAAAGAACTTTGACTGATGCTACCTCTTTTGTTCTCAACTTGCAAACTTGGCGATCTAGAATCTGAACAGGAATCTCCTCATAAGATAAGCTATCCTTGATACCAATATCTTCAGTTGGTATGATCAATAAAAGATCGCCCATACACTTTTTCAGCATTGAGATATGGAACACTGGATGAACTGCTGCTAACTCTTGTGGTAGCTCTAACTAATAAGCTACATTTTCAATTCTCTTGGATATTCTGTAAGAGCCAATATATCGGGGACTAAGTTTTCCCTTCTTACCAAATCTCATAACACCCTTCATGGGTGAAATTTTCAAGTAGATCCAATCATCTACTTAAAACTCTAACTCCCTTCTCCTAACATCAGTGTAGGATTTCTAACGAATCTGCGCTATTTTCAACCTCTCTTGAATAACTTCACCTTCTCCATAGCTTGATGAACTAAGTCTGGTCCTATCAACCCAGCTTCACCAACTTCAAACCATCCAATAGGAGAACTGCATCTTCTCCTATAAAGAGCTTCATGTGGAGCCATTTGGATGCTAGAGTGGTAACTATTGTTGTAAGCAAATTCAATAAGAGGTAGGTGATCATCCAAATTACCCTTGAAATCAATCACACTATCCCTCAACATATCTTCTAAGGTATGAATAGTGCACTCTGCTTGACCATCTGTCTGAGGATGAAAGGTAGTACTTAAGTTCACCTTTAACCCCAAGCCTTTCTGGAATGACTTCCAAAACTGTGCAGTAAATTGCGCACCTCTGTCTGAAATAATGGAGATCGAAACTCCATGAAGTCTAACTACTTCTTGAATATACAA